GAGGAGAAGGCTGAGAGTTTCGGCGACCTCGGGTTCCCACGAGATTAACGGGAGGATGAGTTTGGCGCCAGCCAAACTCATCCTCCGATTCTAATAAATTTCGCGACACTCACAGCAGCTATATAGAGTGGCAAGCAGTGCTATTCGTGTGTTTCTCTCTCGTTCCTCAGACAATGAATGAGTGGAATATGGCAAGGTTAAATAGCTGTCATGTCTCACAGCACCAAAAGAAGAAGAAGAAGTGCTTGTCTGAGGAGAAACCTCCTTCTGCTTGGTGTTCTTTGAGTGCTTGCACGGGCATGGACCACATTCACTGAAAAGCACCTAAATTGTTCATGATGCCAAAGGTTTCATGAGAAATCCCAGAAGAGAGTTAACTATAGTCCCTGGCGAATGTTCCGATCACAAGCAATTCATATCCAACACTCATCTTGGACAAATATGAGTCAACCATCAGCTGCATGGTTATATATACAGTATGTGTACAAAAAGTTCACGAACAGCTAGGTCCTCTCGAGAACTTGTTTCATATATCTGTAGTGAAATTTTGTTTGAACCAAGCATTGGGACCTGGAAAAATGCTTTTTTGAATAAAATTGCAATTTAAGTAGAAAATTAAAACGACAATATGTTTATTTGACAGGGACCTAAAAAATAAACCCACTGATGTTTGAGCCGCATATATTCAGTGTTGTCCTTTCCCAGCAAATAATTTGGACGTTGCAAAATGCGTTGTGAGGGCGTTCTCATGCCATTAGGGCAAGGACGTTGCAAAAACGTCATCTTGGTCTTTACTCAATGCCCTGCCCCCTAACGTTGGCAGGGGGCGTTTTGAAACGCGATTAGAACCCATTGCCAATGGGGCTGAAACTGTTGAGCCTGAGAGGCAATAAAAAAAGGGCAATATTGCCCACCATTCAATTGCCATTGGCAAACGCATTCCCAAGGTGATGCCAATGGTATTGTCCCAACGTCTGACAGCCCTAAAAAAATTAAAAATAAATTCCCCATTCCCTTGCTGCTATTTACTTCTTCATATTGCCTTTTGTGTTATACTCTTTCCTCTTTCTTCTTTACTCCATATGTGTGCTTTCTGTTCACAATATTCCTTCCTGCTGCTTCATCTCCCTTGCTTTGAATCTGCTGTCCTGATGATGCTCCTGGGTTTCGAACTGGGGCCATCTGAGTGAGAGTCAGTCACCTTCACATCTAGCTATGCACTCACAAGCTAGATCCAATGTGAATAGGTATGCTACTTATACTAAATGAGGTATTTCCATATTCATTCAGAAAATCA